TTAGTGATTCTCGAGTCTATTCCGACTCATGCATGCAGAGAACTGCTCCACAGGGTTTTCACAGCTGTGATCTTCCAGAAGCAGATCGCCAGGCCTGTCTTCCGAGGCACCCCAGGTGGGTTCAAACTGCCAACCTTTCAGCTAGCTGTCGAGTGTCTAATGGTTCGTGCCACGCAGGCACTCCTCTGCTCTGACTTACACGCCCTTCTCCAAGTCTGCTGCTCAGCTTGTATCTCCTACATTTATGGAGTCCATGGTCTCTGAATGATGTACAGAAAAGGTCGCCCAGATTCCTCTTCTTTTACGCACATCTTGGAACGTGCAAGACCACCACCGTGGCACCCAGACGGCACGGGGCTTCAAGGCTCACTCACTCACACCACTGTCGTCAAGAGGAAGAGGTGACCGCCCTGCCAATGCCTGATTCTGAAGCCGCACTGAGGGAGGAGGGCAAAGCGGCAGGCAGCAAGGCACTGCACTGTCTGGGCCTGGCCTTACAAAACGTGAAGGTTCCAAGTCCCACGGAGCCTGTCTGCACTGCTCCTCAACAGGGCTTAAAGGATCACACCGCCTAAAATTCTCATTTGCAGCCCGTGGCCCAGGAGACTTGGAGTGAAGCACACACGTCACGGAAGACCAGAGCTTTTCAGATCCCAGAGCAGCAGAGCAAATTAATGTAAACTAAGATTATTAATGCCCTAACCCCTAAGATGTTTCTTTTTTATATTTTTACAACGTAAACGACTTCTCCGCTCACTTGCTGGTGAAACCTGAGCTTGGACCCACTCTGCGGGGAGGCACACACGTTCTGCAAGGCTGTCACGGTAGAGAGAGAGAGTTCTGGAGCCCGCAGGAAGGTCCGCTAGGAGACTCAGAGGAGGCAGGGCCCTCAGCCCCCACAAGCATTTCCTGTCTCCACTCCGCTGGCCCAGGATGACTCCTTGACCCCTCCCCACGTAAGTCATGAGCAAAGGACGGCACCTTCTAGATCTAGATAAACTGAAAGGCAGGGAAATGATTTTCCTAAGCTTCCCTTTACTATGAAGCATGACTAGCTCATCTTCAGTCTTAGGAACAGCATGCTCCAGGTTACAAAGACAAAGCTCTCTGCCTTCAGTGCTTAGCTGCTCTGTAACCACAGGAAAGTGGTGACCAGCCACAGTCCTGCATAAATCCCACTGAGACGTGTGCCACGCCAATTTTTCCCCCTTTACTGGGGAATTTTTAAAATTGCAGAGAAGAGGAACCAACTGATTACGGTATCTAAGAAAACAAAACCAACCCCCAGGGCGAAGAGGAACACACGGTCACCCTCTGGCTCCCCTCACCTGAGCTTGAAGACGTGCTTCTTCTTTTTGTAATCAACTGCCACTTCGCAGACGGCTTCTTTCAAAGTCACGGGGACCTCACTGTGGTAGGGGATTCCAGATGCCGCAGTCTTTGCATCTTTGTAGAAACCCATCTCTTGGTTGTTTATGACACAGTAAACGTTGTGCCATGACCTGAGCAGTAAAGAAGAATTAAGATGTGATCAACACGGTGAAGGTGGGAGACACCGAGGCATTTAGGAATCAAGGCAAGAAAACCCGGTGTCAAAAGCCCTAGCTAAATCTTGCTAAAACTAAACAATGGAACATAGGTCCTCAGGCGATGCCTGGACGGGGAAGACGGTGCTACAAGGACAGGATTACACGAGGGCTATGTCTGAGTTTAGGGAAAAACACAGTGCCCCCTTCCAATAAATGAAGGTACTCTCGGCTCTCATCGGAAAATTTTCATTAGTGTTTAGTATTCTCTGTAGTAACGAGGAACAGGTCAGGCTCCCTACCTGAAACCCACCTCTCCTTAAGCAAGGGCTCTACCAGGGCTCTGCCAGCCTCAGCTTCACTCTCTCTGGTTTGGCAACTTGACAGGGAGGTACGCAACCAGGGCGGCCATAAGCCTTCACGGCTGCTTTGAATGAGGTAGAAAAAGGCGGCCTTTCCCCAAGATGTGGCCAGCGGCCATAATGTAGTGATTTTATTAGACCAAGACACTTTTACTGCCACCCGCCTGTAAAAGCATGCAAATCTGGGCTAGCCTCACTGTGAACACTGGCCCTCAGATGGACTTCCTTGTGCAGTGTACAACCTGCCCGGCTGTCCATGGTGGCCCCAGATAGTTGAGTTTACTGTTTAAGCACACAGGCTTTGGAGTGAGACGTACGTTTCACTTCTGCTTTGCCATTTACCAGGTTTCTACAGAGGGGGGGCCTTCTTAACCTCTCAGAGCCTCTAGTTTCCTCATCTGTAAAACGGAGATCACAAAAATCGGGTTGTTGGGAGACCATGAACATAAGGACGGATACGCAGATAAGGTCAGGGGAGATGTCGAATATCTTTAAAAAGAATCCCACAAGGAGGAATCGTAGGATGAAGCCACTTCACTTCAGGTAGAGAAAACTCCTCAGCCTCAGTCTAGCAAACTCCTCCTCAAGATGAACTACTCAGGCCCCTTCTGGAGACTCCAACACACACTTAGCTCGTCCTTGTCTCAGTGAGAAAGAAGTACTCGTCCCACTCAGCACACACGCCCCGTCCGAGGCCAGCCAGGCCCAGCTCACTCTGTGATGTCCCGCCCTCCCACCTCACCACCTCAGCGCCTGCGGCCGTTACCTGCTGGAGGCTTTCTTGTTGTGAGTCTCCCACTCGTGCTTCCGATTGAGGACGCCCTCCATCTGGGCCGAGGGCGTCTCCTGGGTTCTGGCGGGCAGGGTGGCCGCGCTCTGGGCCGGGAGGGCACTCTTGGCTTTGCGGTTGGAGGTGGGGGAGGGGATGGGGCTGGACTCCTTTGAGCTCGTCCTCTGCTCCGCGGCACCGTTGACCATCTCTCCTGTGTCCGCTGTTTCTGCCATCTAGGGACAGCGGAGAGGCGGTTCAGGGAAGCCCTCGAGCCCCAGCGGCGACCACATCCACTCTGACTCGCACACGTGGCTGCGTATAAGTGCCTGGCACAGATCGAGGCAGTACAGTAAAACCGCTGCGCACCCCACAAAGCCAGCCGGGCACCGGGGACATTAGAAGGGGGGGGATGGATTAATACCCGCCCGTTCATGGGGAAACGAGAAAAGCGAAATGCCAGTGTGAGTTTTACTGCACTCCGCTCCTCTGATCGATCCGCGTTCTCTAACATAACTCTGGTCATTTCATCCCACGGTCACTTTAAAACAAAGGACGACAGAACAATCACGCGTATTAAATACGAGAGAGAGTGGACGTTATACAGCAGCCACCTTACAAACCAAGGATGCCCCCAGAAGGGCTGGACGTTGAAGCGAAAGGAGCATTCACAAACAGATCGAGAGACAACGCCATCAGAGCTGCACAGCACTCCCCCAAAACGAGGCAAGAAAAGACCTTTGGTTCCGGAAAATGCTCCCGGGCCCCCTCCTGCCCCCCCCAACAAACACATCGTCAGGAACACATGCAGAAATTAGGACAACGATCATGCATTTCGCATCAACCACCCCAGTTAGATGCTGGGACATAAGAGCTGGAAGGAAACAAGGCAAGTCAAACATCAACTTAACCACATCTGCCCAAGTTCTATCGTGAGTGGGTCGAAGTTTGTGTTAAAGGAGCTGGAAAAGGCAATCACAGTCACTCAGCACCACACAGCTATTTACCCCCAAACAAAGACAGAACCAGGGCCTTCCCCATCACGCGCTTGGCTGGTCGAGGTGCCTTGCTCCACTGAGGCGAGGGAGCCCAGACAGCCAGGCTTCCAGCGGAGGCGTCTTCGGGAGCCGTTCCTTCCCAAGCTCACTTAAATGGCAACCCTCACGACTTTCCGGCTTTGGAAACGCAGTAGGGTCTCCACTGATTATCACTTCCAGCCTGTGTGCCATCAACTGTGTACCATTAACTGCAGTGGCCCCTGGCTGACACGCTCGGGGCATGGATTAGCACGTTACTAAAGCTGGGTGTGGCTGACGCTTTAGTGGGTTACAATCTGCACCCCTTGTACACGGACAGACGTGGAGGTGTCAATGGCACGCTCATTAGATACCTTGCCCCGCCAATGCGGCCCAGAACCAAAATGACCCCAGATCAGGAGCAAGAGTCTCAACAGGGATAAACAGGGGGGCTGGCCACGGCTGCTTGGACACTCAGATCTGTCCACTCTTAGAAGTGGCTCTCCCAGTTAGGTCTCATCTCCATGGCTGGGCCCAACGCTTGATTTTCAAGGAGACTGATTCCTTGGAAAAGGGGCTGGGGAAAACTCGGGGAGGGAGAATCGTGGGTTATGCTACATCTATACAAACTATCAAAATTAGCATCCAGGTTTAGGAGGCTAGAGACTGTGCAATTTAAGAGTGTTTTTGATTGGAACCTATCACCCAGAGAACAGTGTGGAAAACAGACTATCAGGGCAGAAAGCATGGGGAAGAGGAAGGTGATTACCTGGCCTTACACATGACAGCCTACGGACACATGCTTACGGGCAATCAAAAAGACAAAAAAAACCCAAACCTGTTGCTGTCAAGTCGATTCCGACTCATAGCAACTCTAAAGGACAGAGAAGAACTGCCTCATAGAGTTTACACGGAGTGGCTGGTGGATTCGAACTGCCGATCTCCTGGTTAGCAGCTGAGCTCTTAACCCCCTGTGCCACCAGGGCTCCATATGGGCAATAAAAAATCAGAAAATCAAACCCACTGCCGTAGAGTCGATTCTGACTCATAGCGACCCTATATGGCAATGTTGTTAGGTGTCACTGAGTTGGTTCCGACTCACAGACCCCTACAGAACAGAGTAGAACAGCCCCACAGGGTTTCCAAGAAGCAGCTGGTGGATTTGAACTGCCGACCTTTTGGTTAGCAGCCGAGCTCTTAACCACTGTGCTGCCAGGGCTCCTTCCTATATGGCACTAGACTTAAATACTCCCCCCTCTCTCCCTCCCTCTCTCTCCTCATTTTTAAGGGGGGATGGAGGAGAAGAAATCACTGCAAAACAAAACCCTGCCGACTGGATTTTAAAGTCGACCGATCTGTTCTGGTGTGAGACTTCAGGACACGTTTGGTGAGGAAGAAAAGGGAGTGTGGTCTGGACGCCTGTGACAGGTGTGAGTCCAAGATACACAGGGTTAGTATGTACAGAAACCAGGTTAAAAAAAAATTTAGTGCTGCAGGTTTGACTTGAAAACTGCTAGTGACAGCAATGACATGGCTAGGGAGACGTTTACTTGAGTGAGGCTAAAACATATCACACGCTTGGTCAGGCTTCAAGGTGGGTGAAAGGCCAAGGAAGCCTCTTCTGAGAGAATTTCTGCAGCAAAAATTTTTTCTTGAGAGTTAGAAGGAAAGAGAACACCCCAAACCAGTATGCAGAGAGAATTAATGTTTATGCAAATGAACTACTAACCAAGAAAACGAGGAAAATAAAAGGAACAAAATGAATTTTAATGGACATGTGCTTTAAGCATGCTGACAACGAACACCACACCACCAGGGACAAACATCAAAAGCAAATCACAGCGCTGCCGTCAGAGAATACATGGGGTACAGCTCCCCGCCCCCGCCCCCACGCTGCTTCTCTTTCGCAATTAGTCCAGAGTGCTTTAGTGGCTGGATCACCTGGGAGATTTAACTCAGGACGCGAACACAAATGCAACGTGACAACTAGTAGCACAAGGAACACCCCATTTGGTTTTCAAAGTGCGTGAAGCAACGCTATTTTCAGTCCATTAGCTTGAGTCTCTGCACTGTACTCCAAAGAATGAAAAGGCGTGTCTTTTCCCAATAGAATTCAATTGCAATCAAAAATTTGTTCTGGCGATTGGCAGTTTTCAACTCTAGATAAAAATAAGGCATTGAGAGCAAACACCAAAAGTGTCACGGTGCTCTTTCTGTATCTGCTTATGTTGCTGGTTGTTTTTTGGTCTTCTGGATATAAAAAGCATAAAATTGGATATCAGTCCGGATGACACAAAATTTAAACATATGTATATATATACGGAAGCGTCACATATATACATATACACGAATGTCACACACAGTATGATCTGGAGCCAGAAAGACACATGTGGGGGCTCCCTACTGACCAAATGTGAAATGGCAACTTTCTCTAAAACAGACTTTGGTGTGTTTTAAGGCAGAGACCCAGTAATGGTGCACGCTACCCCCGGAACATAAGAAGCTTCTTGGCATCTATCTATATACCCATCTACGGTCACAAGTAGATAGATATGCACATAGAGATACGGAAAACAAGATGCTATATGATGTTATCCTGACAAAAGAAAGAAAAAAAGACATGCATCATGAAATGAAAAGACAAATTAGACTTAACTCATGGAGAACACGTATCAAAACAGGTTTCTGATTCCACTAACATATCTAAATATGGCAAATGATCAAGTGAATAAACGTCTCACAAGGTGTGGATGTCACAGGGATTTGGTTTTGTTTTGATCAGTACCAGGAAATTGCCTCTTTCATCAGCGTTTTTCCTAAGGAACAGGATTTTCTGTTAAATCTTGTCGACCCCTCCTAGTGGTCTGGTAAATGCCATCCCCAAAGACTCCTTATTAGAACTCAACAAAAGGCCTGGAGAAAATGAAAACATGTATCCGGAGGCCCATCCGAGGCAGACGGTGGGGTCCATGTCTACAGAGGCACTACAATTAGCTCTGAAGCCAGGAGCCACCGAGGGCTCCTAGGGACGGTCTACCAAGTGCGTCGTTCAAGTAATCAGGACAAACCAGAAATGGCTTTTGTTCCATTTGTTTGAAAAATTACAAGTTTGACACCCTGAAGTCATCAACCGAATGGAGAGGCCTGGAAATCCGGTAGGCAGGCCTCCGGAACAGACGCTGAGAACTGCCGTCACCTGCTGCGTCCCCGTCCCCGCCAGCCGTGCCAACGGGGACCAGGTGGAGGCAGCGCTCAGCAGGCACTTTATTCCCGAGGCCGTGGCGGCATGGTCTGCTGTCACTAAGGCCTAGAGTTCTCGATTCAGGACTTGGCAGGAACATACGAGAGGGACTTGTTTGTAAAAAGCGACAAATGATTGGAGGGTCTCAAAATGCTTGAGACTCTTGAGTTTCCCAATTAGATCCAACTTCCCTTTTTGGTTTTTTTAATCATCTTCAGTAAATGAATGCACCTTTCATGGCATGTTACACAGCTGATTTTCGGTTTTAATTGAGGTACAGAAGTCTCCCTCATTATGACTGAACTAGTGCAGTATAACCACCACCTTCAACCAGGTTAATCACATCTGGAAAGCGGGCCACGGAGAGCCCAGTCCTGCACCGTTAGTATAACTGGATGAGTCATACCTGTCCGATTCTAGTTTTCATCTTCATTGTGCTGTAATCGCATCTAATTTCAATTACTCATGTAAGGTTTTCGCTGTAAAATCTTGATATAGCAAGAAGCTCACAATAAAATAAAACAAACAAACAAAAAAATAAGTATGCTGCTTGAAGGCAAACTGAGCATATGTCACTGAAAAGACTCAAACATGAAGATTCAATGCCAAAACACGAAACCAAGGCAGGCTATGAATTAAGTAAAAAAATTAACACTGTGGGTGAAGTGGGAGTCAAAAGGCCAAACCGACAGGATCTGCAAAGAGTGAGTCTTGACAAATGGTGGCGGGTTTCGCAGTCCAGACTAAGGCTGGTCACTGGCTGTCCGTCTGCTATTAAAGTTTTTGTAGTTTTGGTAGGTTTGGGAGCGGTAACTAACCCGTGGAGATCCCTGTTCAGCTGGCAAACCGTTCTGGGAAATTTGCTCTCCTTTGGAAGTATCCCTGTTGGGTGAGGGGGCGGAAAAAGAAAAAGGAAGAAGAAGGGAGGGGAAGAAGGGGAAGGGGAGAAAAAGAGAGAGAGGGAAACAAGGGAGGGGAGAGAAGAGAACACCACCAGTCAATTTTATGACAAGCTTTCTCCCTGAAAAACCCACGCAACCCTCTTTTACCGAATTTTTTTTTTTAAACCTGAAGCTTCCAAGTGTTTCAAGCAGACCCTAGAGAGAAACAAAACTCCGCTCCCATGCCTGCCTCACAGGTGCCCCTCCTCCGCCCCCATGAAGCCAAGTGTGCTTGCGTGGACTTCTTACCACAGCAAAACAACACGCCTTTCAGAAACGGAGGGTAATTTCCACTTGTTACTATAAAGACACCAGGAACGTAAAAAAAAAAGCATCCCCCAAAGTGTTACCACAAACCCGCTGGCCTGAAATGTGGGTGGTTCAGCCTGTCCATTTAAAAAGATAAGGAGGTTGTGTGTGTGTGTGTCTGTGGGCAAGTCAGGGTGCCCCGAAGTTAGTCAGGGGTGACGCTACAGTTTATAAGCACCTACAGGAACAATTCACAGGAAGGGCATGCGGTGAGGCCTGGCACAGCCAGGCTCAGACAGGGCGCTCCACAGAGCTCACTGGTCACCGAGGTGACGTCTGCAGCTCGCGAGCCAGCACCCTGACTCACCACTGCTGTTGGGACTCGGCCTCCTCTGAAACCTTCGTGCTCGGCTCGGGAGAAGGTGGCCGCCTCTTCCTCTCCTCTTCCTCTTGCTGTCTGCGCACTTCCAATAACTCCAACTGAGGGGAAAACACAGTGACATTCAGCAGAGGCCCCGACTGTGCCTCTCGTAAGGGAAGTTCCTCATAAGAAATGCACAAAGTCCTCCTGCTGAGTTTTCTAGGGTGGGTCACAATGGACAAACAAGAGCTCTAACATTCTAAGCAAAATGACATTAGGGTCACGGGAACTGCAGCTACAACCTGAAACTACAGAACCTGATGTCTGAGGGAAAAGTCAGCTCTACCCCACGGGCTAGCAAAACTCCTGTGACCTGCTTGTGACCTCCACTTTGCTTAGGGTCCATGCTGACTTTCCACCTGAGCTCAAACACCACTAAGACAGAGCTGCAAGAATCCTCAAGGAAGCATCTTGGGCAATAACATGGATTAGCATTCAGCAAAAACCCAAACAACACAACCACCCACCCCACACACACCGAGTCATCTGACGGAAAACCAAGCCAGTTTATGAGAAATATGCACGCACCAAAAGTATCCCGTTTTAACACAAAAGTACACGGGTACATTTTAAATCCCCAGAATCGTAGAAATTGGAAAGAAACGCCATTTTTGTACGTGGCAAACGAGCTGCCTTCTACTAGGACTGCAAAGTCTTGGCGGGGAAACACCACTGAGTAAGCCCTATTCTAAGGCCTTTAGGGTGGCAGAGGAGGGTATCAGGAATGGGGAGAATGTTTCAATGGCCTAGAATCGCGCTGCTCCTTGCTGGAAATTCTAATTCTGAAATTCTGGGAAAAAACTTAAGGGTCTATCCTCTGGAAATCAAAGTTTCTGGGAGATTTAGGGAAAAAAGCAGATGGAAAGAGACAAACAAGCCCCATCATTCAATTCCCAGGCACGATGCTGTTATAAGCGATCCTAAATCCAGGTGACCGGGCGGAGGTGCCCAGGAAGTGACTGAGGAGGTACTAGCCCTGGACACTCTCCCCAGGTCCTGCACCAAGAGAGCCACCAACTTCAGAAGGCCGCGCTGCTGCCAACCTGAGCAATAACATGGATTCTCTGGTCAGAGAGGCACACAGGGATACGAGCCCGTCCGTGAGAACCAACAGCAAGGCACGCCAGCACCCCGGCCGCTTACTGTTGTCAGCCTTTCCAAGGCGGAGAATCTCTCGTCCCAGGTGGCTGCCGACTTCTCAAATGCCTCATGGCGCTTGATGAGCTTCTCCACCTCGTCCACGCTCTGGCCGATCTCTCGGCTGGATAGGTATGGCTCCTGTCCGAGCAGCCAGGCCTCGGCCACACTGGCGTCCCTTGAGAACTGATGGACCTCCAGAACTGCAGAGGGTGGCAAGAGTGAGCGCCGGACAGCGTTTCAGTCATGGCGGCTTGTTTCACGGTACTGCCGCCACCTGGTGGCAGCTGCCGGAACAACCAGCTTACAGTCTAGATCAGCACTGCCCAACATAAATACAATGCGGGTCCACGTGTGACTTTAAATTTTCTAGCCACACATTGAAAAGAAACAGGTGAAATTAATTTTAGCAATATATTTTACTTAACCAAATATATCCAAAATACTATCTCAACGTGTAATCGGTATAACGGGGCCCTGGTGGCACAATGGTTATGGCCTTCGGTTGCTAACCCAAAGGTTGGACTTGGAACCCACCAGCGGCTTTGTGGGAGAAAAGACCTGGCAATCTGCTCCCATAAAGATTACAGCTTAGGAAACCCTATAGGGGCAGTTCTACCTTGTCCTATAGGGTCGCTATGAGTCAGAATGGACTCAACAGCACAGTAATATAATCAGCATAAAAGAATTATTGAGATATGTTAACTTTTTTTTTTGAGGTATCGGAAATCTGACGTGACTGTTCTACTGACAGTACATCTCAATTTGGACTGGCCACGCGTGAGGTGCTCAGGAGCCCCGTGGACGGTGGTGCCATGTTGGACAGCCCAGGTCTAGACATCGATCTCGGTCTGGACCGGCCACACGTGAGGTGCTCAGGGGCCCCCTGTGGATGGTGGTGCCATGTTGGACAGCCCAGGTCTAGACATCCATCTCGGTCTGGACCGGCCACACGTGAGGTGCTCAGGAGCCCCCT